AAATAAAGTTTAAATATAATGAATTTTCAACTGGGGAATGTCACAGTCTTCATTAAAACTGGGTGAGTTTTAAGAAGTTTCCTACTTATAAACAGTTGGTGAACAAGGCCCATTGATAGTTTCAAAACATGCCATTCACTTTCCAGTCAATAAAGTCCCCATATGGAGTTTGTGGCAAAAACCCTGCTTTGTGTTTATCATGCTTGTAATGTCACAACCATGAACATTGACATTCAGCCTACTGCAGTTTAGCCCCACTCATCCATGCTGAATTGATGTGGAGTGTTGTTCCTGCAGACAGCTTGTAGCAGAATTAATAGAGTGCAAGATGTGGGGAAAACGATTAAAAACGACGTTGTGCTGCTCCAGGCTGTCAAGAAGCAAACGGATCACTGCAGCCGTCCAAACAATCCACATATCTGAACAAAGAGACTGAAGCTTATTTTTTCAAAGGTCCCTGAGAATTTCAGTCTAAGTTTTACAGTTTGTCTTGTTGTGTTCTGGACCACTTTTTGAATGATGCACAAAACAGAATCAGCCAATCAGAACCAAGGTCATTTACATTTTTCAGTCATCAATGTCCCATATCATAAAGAATTTTTTAATTAAAAAATTATTACGTAAAGGTTATTGTAGTTCCAAAATGTATTGTTGTCCTCCTCGTCAATACAGTCCATATATGGAAACTATCCTGCAAAAACAGCTCTTTTTAAACAAGCATTCGCATGTGTCCACTTACGCAGCCTACAAGTGTTACTGTAGTTACTAAAGTTACTGAAGTTATGAAGGGTGTGAGAATGAGAACCCATACAAGGAAGCCAATCAGAATAGATTCTATTTGCATATTTTAGTCGTAAAGGCAAACAGCTTGTTTAATGCTAAGGAATAAAGAGAGGTTGAACAGCGGTCATGTACAAATGAATTGAGATTTTTTAGTACATGAAACTATGTAAATGTTGTTCGTGGACTTCAGGTGGATCAAGTATATATAAAGGGATCTGTTTCTACACACAAGGCCCTGTGAGGGCTGGTGTGTAAGTGTACATGTAGCCAGATTAATAAAGGCTGGGGTGGGCCCACGCGTCCCCTTGTCTGAACAGCTCTGAGCTCGTTCCTCACGTCGCCAGATTTCCCAAGTATCTGTTAAGTATTACTCATTATACTGTCTGTGCTTCCAGCACGTAGAGACGTCTATTTCAGCACACACACTCGGGACCGAAGGCAGGCCCATCTTTCATTAACTCCATCCCTCCAAAAGTCACACCACAAGCTGTTTTTCATCTTTCTATCCTGCTCTGCCTTTCAAGGTCTGTCCAGGTCTTATATAACGAGGAGTGGCCACACACTGTCGCTGCATCATGCATGTTTACAGAGGATAAGCCAGGTTCATGGACAATACTGGCTGGTTCTACTTCTTCCCTGTTTACTGTTGCTTAAAACTTTCAGAAATCAAGAGTTGTTGTTTTGATATACATTCAGTGTATGCATCCTTATTATTTAAATTGCATTGTTACATAATGATACTCAATTTACATTCTGTATTGACTGGTTTGGATCTTCGGATCTACTTCTGACTTTTTCCATTTCTTTTAATGGCAAAAATAGCTACATTTCCATTGACTTTCTGCACAAAACGGCAAGTAAAAGTAATAAAAAGGAAAGTGCAAAAATATTTTTGCTGCCCAGCAGTTTGTTTCTATCGAAAATACTTTCAGCACTACAAATGCTTTACGTAACAACGTCATTTCCTGCAAAAGACTGTTGCCGAATAAGTTTTGGTTTATCGATTAAAAAAGTGGCCACAGTGTAGGTTTTCGCAAAATTTTAGGCATCAACATACGTTTTGTTAACATTCATGAAATATTTAACATTTTCTGTGAAAAACTGTTTAGATGGAAAGCATCCAACCACAGCAAAATGTAAATTTTGTTTTTTTCTTTCTACAAAACGAGACTGTGCACATAAATTTTCATCAAATTTGATAATGAAATTTCTTCTCAAACAAACAAACAAATACAAACGTGGGATCAATTAAAAACTTTTGAATATGTGTTTTCAACAGAATTCCAACGGAAGAGCTATGAGTGAGTTCAAGGTGTAAACATCATGGATGACCTTGAAAACATACTTGGATTGTTTTAAAGAAGCCAAATAAATGTTTAAGTCCTGATTAGTCCTCGGTGGAGCATAACATAGCTAAAGTAGCTCAGAGACAACTAAAGCTCAACTGTTCGAGAAAGAAGATGGCATTGCACTAGCAGTGAGTTTAACACGACTGGACAGAGAGAGCTCCCTGACCACATTCTGCTCACGTTCTTATTCTCCTGTGACGGGGCTACATCTGAATCACATTTGCACGCTGCAGAGCACTGGACCAGACAAGATGACAAGCCTCTGGGCAATGAGTTTAGGACAGAAGCAAACTGTACATTTTGAGGAGTGTAGACAGTGGGCCTGATACTGATCTAGGACCTGTTTGCCTTCTTGGACAGTAGAAGGTTCACTGTTTTACTAGCGGTGTAAGAATGCCTCTATTTGACTGAACTCGTTTTGGGATCAAATATAACGTTCATTCAATGTAGTTTGGCACAGTTACAAATACAGGTGTAGTAGCTGCAGTTTTAATACACGTCAATGTCACTGCTAGGTTGAGAGTGGTCCTTCACCAACACAAACTGTACATCAACACATAGGCTACAGTCTCTCTGTCTCTAACTGTACATCAGCAAGGTGGTGCTACAAGGTAGAGGCTTGTAGTAAAGTACCCAGTGAAGTGCACCCTTGCAACACCACTGTGCCCAATACATTCGTTCCAATACTATGCCAGAGTCACTGCTGTGCTGAGAATGGTCCACCACCTAAATAATATCTGATCGGGGTGGTCTTATGACGTCCCTTTCAACTGTGAATGGGGTAGAGCGAGGCTGATAAACAGATGGGCTACAGTCAGCAACTGTAAGCCTACCAAACACACCTGTATGGAAGGTGTATCTGTTCAGATGGCCTACAGTTTAAGATTGGTGTTATACTGATGGATGGATGGATGGATGGATGATACTTTATTAATCTCAAAGGAAATTTAGCAGTCACAGCACAGTTAAAATAATGAGGGTGGTACAATATGAAAAGAAGAATGTACAGGCTCAGCAAAATTGTTATTGTTGTTGTTATAAATAATACTGTCAACTACAAATAAATCTATCTCATTTATTACAAAGAGGCAGGAATATACACAAAAAACTATCTACAGGCATATATACAACTAGAAATATACACAAATATACAAAAATACTGGCTCAGTGAACACTGAATAGTGTCCTAAATAACAGTAATCAAATCATTGACTCCCCCCACTACAGTTTATTAATCTAGAACCTGTCTGCTTCACATAAAAAGGCAAGAACAAAAGTGTATTTTTTCAGTGGAATAGGCAACTTCTAGTACAAATTTGTCTGCCAGAAAGTTGGCCTAACCAACCCCCCCACCCAATGAAAGAACAAACATATTTTTTAACTATATTTAACAATTTAATTTTAAATTAGAAATTTAAATCATTAAGTATTTCAGAAATAAAGTATAATGTAATCTTATAAAGTACATTAAAGTACAAAAAAAAATGAAACCAACCTACCTTTATTTGGTATATAGTTTTTTGTCTTTATGGCCTTTTGACCAAATAATAAAATAATAGTGAAAGCAAATAATTGATTGATTAATAAATAAATAAACCAACTATCCAACCAACTCATTCTATGGCTAAATGTCATACATGTAAACAAAGTAAACAAATGTGAGCAATAATGCTCACTGACAGTTGAAATATAAAATCTACTACACCTGTATTTAAGCATTTTATGGAGAGCTTTTTTAAACTGATGCACTACTGTTTGCCCATAATTCACTCTTCATGAATACTAAGTTCACATACCACTCTGAGGCTGGACCGACTGAGGATGTCAACAGTGATTGCTTTACATGCTTTGAATGCTGTGAACTTTAACAGAACCTTGGTCATTACGCGTAAGTCCAGGCACACTGCCATGATCAATTTCTCCAATGTCTGATTGGCTGAACCGTTGAACTAAAATTGACAGAGATGGTACAAGTGCAAATGTTAGTTTACAGAATGTGAAGCAGGTACTGCAGGTAGCACGTCCGAATGGGCTGACTGATAAGAAGAGCGAGTCCAGCTGTCCAACTGGCTTTAGTGCATATGCGCCAACTGTAGTGATCCCTGGGGGAGTCACACCAAAGTGACAGTACAGTGTGTTACTGACAGGCTCTTGACCCTGTGAGGCTTGCCCATGTGTTTTGTACACTACCAATGGCTATCAAAAGGCTGGAATTTATATGTGACATAATACAAAACCAGATAATTGTACAAAATGTTCATAATATGCTAGACTGGGTTTTTGATTAATCAGTAAGAAGCAAAGTTGTAAAAATATGATAATAATTTTATGTGTCCTGATCATTACTGCTGTAATGAAAATGAGGACATCAGTAATGACGTTACTAAAAATTATTATCCACAATGCCTCCTATCTCAAAAGTGGTGATCAAATCTTGAAGCAGATAACTTGATTATTGTATTATTGTCATTAAATAATTACAGATTATTTATAATTTAATGACTTTCTATTGTTCCTAAACTACTTGAAATATTGGATACAATACCTAGGAATACCTTTTGGAGACTTGTTTATAATATTTCAGTGTACAGAACCTATATTATTGTATATTACATAACAAAGATTATTAATATACATCAGGATGAGCTTTTTCTAGAGGCACTAGCGTGTGTCCACTCTTTGCCCTTTTGTACTGAACATGTTGTTACTGTTGCTGTTTGTCAAGCTGAAGAAAGACAAGGCCAGGATTCACTTTTATTACCTTCAAAACTTGGTAATTTTATTTACAGTTCAAGTCAATCACATGCAACATTTTTTTAAATGAATAAAACACAAAATTAGCAAAACAACAAACGAAAAAAATTCATCTTTGTTTTCTTTTTTTATTTTCTCCAAAATGTCAATTAAATATACAAAAATAGAGCTTACAAATACTGTACAGCAAATGTCTCCAAAAATATTCTGCTGCAGAATTTTTAGTTTTACAAACATGTTTGTGAGCTTCACAAACATTATCAGTGTTAAACACAAGGGAGAGTGGGGGGAGTGAGGGGGAAGTGGGAGGGGTGTGTTTAAGGGCTATGCTACGTAGACACAGGTGGCTGTGAGTGCAAGGGTTAATGATTGTATGGGGGCACACTATAGGAAGCCCTAGTGGGGGGGGCATGGGAGGTAGCACATAACAGAGCTCAGTTTGACACTGGAAAAATACACTCACTGTACACCACGAACCACAGAGGGACGGGGGGGTGCAGAGGAATAAGAAAGGAGCGGAGGTGGGAGTCTATACAATATCAAGGCTCAAAGCCTACAATCTGAATATTGGCAGTTAATTATGAATGAGGATCCATGTGTTAGATAATCTGAACAAAATGAATGAGCGTGCTGTCGTGACTCAGCTACAAATCAGGCCTACTTTCATGGACTTGGGCTGCAGAATATTTCATAAGGTAGTCAGTATCATGATATTAGCCTTTGCAATACTGATATCGCAGAAGGCTGCAATATGCAAATGAGACTCTAACCAATCACAGTCTTTTAAACTGTCTGCCATGAGCAATCTGACCAATCACAGATGATCTAGATCAGTTTCTGTGGGTGTTTGGACTAATCAAGGCATTTACATGATCCAACAAACGTAAATGATTTTGGTCAAAAATAAGGATTCATTAACATGTTTTTCATATATTGCCAGGCATATCACAATCGCAATATGTAGCAGTGCACTCACAATATGGTACTTTGTCCATATCGTGCAGCCCTAACTCAGACTGATGCGCCTTAAGAGCCAGGACTGGGTCTCAGTGGCCCACAAGAATGCCACTTCAGCCATTCATATACATTACTAAAGCTCATTCTCTCAGACATAACCAGTGAGTTTACTGCCTCCTAATACAGAACAGACAGAAGTTCATTCTGGGCCAACTTTAGGGATGCACGATGATACTGGAACCATTTGGTATTGGTAGATAATTGCTTAAAAAAAAAACAAAAAAAACAGCAGATTTGACTGATGCTTCAAACTGATACTTGATGATTTATTTATTGTGTTTCAGAAGACCAGAAAGTTTAGGCCAAGCTTGGATACAGTATCTACATTTTACTTCATTTTACTGCATTTGTAGCCCCATACAAATAAATGTTACATTTCTGTGTTCGTCAGCGTCGGCAGATATGTACATGAAAAATATCAGGTATCAGCATCAGCCCACAGTTCCCATACTGGTGCATCCCTAGTCAACCTGGTTAAAAAAAGGTCCAATTTAGGCCTCCCAAGTTTTGGTACCTGTCCCAGTAATGACTGTTATCACATTGAAAGTGACTAATATGTGTAGATATACATTATTTTTTTATATTATATGAAGCCCTGCTATGTGTTTCTATGTAAACTGTGCAGATCTCTTGGCACCTGGAAGAACTTCATCCTTCATTCTTGTGCCTTTTACACAAACACACTTAAGACTGACTTGGGTTTTGATTTTTTGTTGTTGTTTACTTTTTTAATTACCTTTCTGTAACTAGGTGTTACATAGCCTGTCTGTTAGTGGTAATGTTTTAAGGGTTGTTTGAAAATCATCAGAATGCTATAGAATTTTAGGAAGATGTTCTGCCTCAATAGATTGGTGCACTAATATCAAGACTGGTGTGTATAAATATGACATACATGGCAGACTTGGACACAAGCAACTATGTTCACATTAGGATTCACATTTTCACAGCACTCTATTGCCATACATTCATCATCAGTGACACTTGTATACATTTAAACTGAACTTGACTGCAATGGTAGTAGGTAAAGGTGTACACTATATGAGAATTTGTTCCCTAAAGATAAGGGAATTGTCATATATCGTTGTTGGACATCCCAACAATGGTGGCTTGTGCCAGAGAATCGTTATTATTTATAACTAAGGCCAATTGCCTTACTTTTTTATAGAATTGAAACCTGTTTGAAACCTCTGCACACTATCGGAAATGCCCTATGCAGCATTTTCCCCTCTTAGCCACTGCAATCAGGGGTAACACAAAAGCCATCCGGGGGTCACCCTGAACAATGCACAGGGGGTTCACACCAGTCAGATGGAAATGGCCAGAATATAGCTTCAGAAAGAGCTGGCTTTATTCCGCTAGGTACAATGGCCAACCTGCTGACAGAGGCGCTACACCTGGCTCAGTGTAGAAAAGGGGCCAGCGTGGAGCAATGCAGTATGGGAAATGAGCTACACACATTCATAGCCTTTTTGTGAGTTTGGCACAAAGTGCTGGACCCCACAGCGGATATGCTGAGCAATGCTGGAACATACAAACGACAGTCAGGCCTGCAGCAATGGATCCTTTCTTTTCTAAGCTGCTAACCTACCTAAGGTTTCAGTTATCCTCATGCAGTGTGTTGTACGTGAGGGGTGTGACTGGATGTGCCTGACTTAAAGAGAACCATTCTGTTGTGTTTGTGAACGGGAAAAGAAAGGGGGGAAGGTTAGCTCAGGGTTTTGGAATTTTAAGTCATCTTCCTCTCTTCCCTGGAAAGCTGTGCCTTACTACACGCCAAGACAAACAAACACAGGCTCAAGACACTGTAGTGCATAACGTCACAATTCCATGAAAATGAACCACAGTCTAATCCCTTCGTCAGTCTGCGCCAGTTTACTGATTTGTTTTTCTGATAAAAAACAGTATCTAGCCTAACCAACTTGTGATTTACAGATATATACTGAATACAACACTAAGGGCCCAATGTACTAAGCCTTTCGCTCCAGTTCCAGGCACAAATGAGACACGTTCTTTCTGCATGTTATATATGAAACTGACATGCAAGCCCAATGCGCAGTTTATGTGTATTGTGAAACAAAAACGCAATTATTTTCCTCATGCATTTAAGGGAGGGCCGTGCAAAACATGGAAGGATCACACAAAAAGTGGGCGGAGATATTATACGTGTAGCTGATTACATAGTCCGCTTGATTTACTAAACTTTGAGCGACTCACAGCAGCCAGTCACATCATTTCCCTCCACCTTATAAAACCGTGAGCAATAGGGTTTATAAAGACATGTTCTTCCTTTAACGATGGCAGATACAGCGCAAGCCTCAAAGATGTGCTGAAACAATATTTACCATCTGAATAAGACTTTAAACTCTCAGGATCAGATGCATGTCTGTGAGAAGATACAATATGCTGCGATGCGACCGGATATGTGCACACAGCCAACATTCGCTTTCTGTACATCTTGAGCAAGCTGTTAGTGACAGGGGCTATGCACAGCTTGCAGGATAAACTGCAGTCGCATCATGGGCACATATTACGATCGCATCAAGGCACATTTTGCCCTGTGACTTCACTCATACATACATCTAGCTCTCAAGGTTTCTCCATTACTCCAGTATACTCAAACACAGCTCAACAGTAACTTCAGTATTCTGCAAACTTAGACAGTCAGCGCCAAAGAGTGAGTAATGCTTTGAGTTGATCTGTTTTTGGACATGGAGGCAGTATGGGGTGGGATCCGTTATATAAGTGAGAGGAAGAATGATGATCACTTTGGACTCCCTGTTCCAGGAAACGATCTCACATTGGACTGACAGTGTGATTCACATTGCCTTGTGTTACACAATGGGTGCCTAACATTCAGATTCTAGTGGACTCTAGTGTAATAAATACTGTACTTAAACAGGCGTGAAAACAATGCTGATTTTAGCCTTTTTCTTTTAGAACGATTAGGCCTTTCCAGATAACTTTGCACAGACTTCGCACGACACAGCTTAAAGTATGCTGCTAGAGTATGCCAGCTGTGTGAATATGTGTATAGTATGTGTGCGTGGCAGCAGTTTAAACATAAACACCTACCAGAACTTATGGAATCAACCTCCACTGGGCTAAAGTGACCTCCATCAAACTCTTATTCACATTAGTTTGGCCGACACCCTGAGGTCATTCCAGTGCCTGTCCACAAGTCCAGTCAAAGAGACACCGTTTTGCACTGATGAAGACCAGCTGCCCCACTCGCACGCTTATTTTAATCATTCTAAGACAATCGAAAAACTGGTCTCAGATCAGCATATAAGGGCTATTTCCATCAATACCAACACTACTTCATGACGTGACAGCTGCTGAAACCAAGTTGGCTCCATATTACCTACATAGTGCACTATATTGGTGCCTAAGCACCCTACCTAGTGCACTACATATTCAATAGTGAGCCACCTGACTCCTAATTTTTGGAAGAGGACTCAACCTCCCACTTCTTCCCCTCACGTACATACTGTGGAAAGCTTGTCATCCCTTCTTTAATATACAGTATAAACTTAAGGAAAGTCCTCTCTAAGACCAATCAAAATTATGTGGTTCTGTACTTACTAAAAAAGGGGAAATATATAGAAATAATACAGTTAATTGAAAGAATATAAAATATGACCTTGCTACTGTCTTTCACAAGCAATTAATTTCGAGTCCATGTAAAGTGCTTGTTAAAAAAAAACAAAAGAAACTCTTGTTAACAAAAACGCAGCCGTTTCTGACGTGTTTTTTTTTTCTTCTTTTCTTGCTGTTTGTATAGTTTGTGTTGTTTCTGTCGCCTCTTGTGCTGGTGTCCCCAGAAAAAAAGTGCTTTGGTGTGGAACAGTCCGGACATCCGCGGCACAGTGCCGTGGAAAAAGTTCTTCGTTGTCCTCCCAATAAAAAAAAATATATATGAAAAAAATCCAAATAAACAAAAAAGGTTCTTGGGACTCGGCAGTCATCGTAGTATGGTGAGAATCGGTTGCGAATCCACAGAGGCAGAAACAGAGCAGAACGCAGTCCGGCACATGTGTGTGTTCTCCAGCCTGCCCTTGGCATGGATGTGAGTACCTGTACAGTAGAGCAAGTGAGGGAGTGAGGGTGCAGGATGAAGGATGGGGGGGTCGGGGCTACACCAGGTTCTCCACTCCAGGCAGGTGCTGCTGCGTGGAGGCCACCGCTGCCACTGTCTCAGACGTCCCCTGCTGCTGTGCCAGCTGCAAAACGGGCATATTACAGAGCGGACACACCTTCCTCACCTCAAGCCACTTAATGAGGCACCTGAGAGGGGCAGAGTCAGAGAAACAATGGGGTAGAAGTCAGTTTTAAATGTAAAGCACACTTAAAACAATAGCTGACCAAAGTACTGAACATAATACATACACAACCATTCAAAAGTTAGAAATCACTGTGTTCTATAATATAAAATTCATTTATTCGCAAATGCATGTTTAAAATTATTCTAATATGCTATGGTGAGTCCTGTGTAAGTTAGCTAGGGAACTGTAAACAAAAAAACGTGTCCAAAATGATAAACAGAGTTATCAAAGATTCAAAAATAATAAGCTGTATAGCATTAAGAATTAAATTATAATACATTGAAAATCTAAAAATTGAAAAGTGATCAAACTACAAATCAAAAATTACTGTAGACAGACAATTTCAGTATATTACTTATCATTTAATATGTTCTTGTTCAAAAATACAAAAATGAATAAAGCTATCTAATACCTAAACATATCTTTGGGTGTTTAGATTACACTTTCAACACTAATAATTGTACATAAAAGATACTATTGTAAACAAAGTAATACAAATTATTTGTACAACAAGTGACTTCAGACTTTTAAAATGTCGAAATGTATAGGATATACTATAAGATGGACAGAGGGATGTGTTTGTGGGGGGGTGCACCAATGAATCATGTACTGCATTCCACAACATACAAAACAAAAACAGTGTCCTCAGTGGGTGAGATGTGGAAATAGGAAATTAAACAGCTGTGCTGGACGTCATGTTCTCTGGAGCTCACTCCCCCTCCCACTGTGACAATGCGACAAAGACCAGAGCAGGACCCTCACAGCTGCAATACAACAACATCTACTAACAGACACTTCTGTGACCACTTGTTTTGGTCACATGAATGAAAGCTGGGCATCTTAAAGCACGTGGCATGTCTTAGGCTTCTCTTCCCTTGTCCATCATTTGGCAGGGAGTACTGTTGTAGTAGAGTATCGTTATTACACAACTGCACACACTTCAGATTAAAGGTGCGTGATCGCATTCGACAACAATATTCACTCCTAATGCAAGATTTATTTTTATTTTGTCCGATTGGCCCAAAAAAGTTAGCGATTTACCCACTGAGCTGTAAGTAAATTTGGAATCAGTCATAAGAATCAATGACTGGTGCACCCTTACTTCAGATAAATTCACTTAGACTGAATCAAGTCTACAGCATGATCTCATATCTGTTCTGTTAATCTCATCTCTGTGTGCAGTGCTTCAGACAGAATGTGGTTGTAGATTTAATGAATATGACCCATCTAGCTGATTTGAAGAGAAAGCACAAGTCTGAAAGCAGTGAAGATACACAGACAGGCTAATCTGAAGTCAGTGGGGCTGAGGCGTCCATGCTCCACACTGCTGAATTATTCACTGCAGATTTTCTAGGCCTCTGGGTCCCTTAGGAAGGGCAACAGAAACAGTGAAGGGTAGTTTGAGGGATTTTCTTTTTAAGTGACAACCAAGCAGTGAGCAATATGGCCAAAAAATCTTATCACAAATTATTTTCCTAAGTCATTCAACATCAATTAACAATTACTAAGGTGCCACTTTAAGTTTGGATAGCTGAATAGTGTTTTGAACCCTGAAGAAAACAAAAGGGTTATGCTGATCTAATATGCTCACTATATATAAATTATATTTTTTCTGAACACATAAAGCTAGCTAACTCTCCTAATTGCGCTGTTATGAGCAAATGGCAAAATTTCCCCATCTAGCAGGTAAAAGCTGTATATTACATCTAATGTACCAAAGTAGCAGCTGTTAAAATTTTAAGCCTTTGCTGCTAATGCTGGATTGAAGAACATTTTTCATCATTTTCGTTATAGTTTTTGATCATTTTGATAATTATCGTTATAATTTTATCGCCCAGGTCTAGTTGAGAGTGTACATATATGTTTGCTCATAGAGCCTGTGCTGTGGCTCCCTTTAAGTCCCTATAGCTTATTCCCTTTCCTCTCTGAGTCCCCCACAGAGATGTTCCACTGGGTCTGTTTACACACAGTGGAGTGCCAGTAAAAGTCACCGCCTTCTGACATACACCACTGCTGTTAACTAGGCCAGTGTGGGGCCTCAGCTTCCACAAACAGGCCAGTCACAGCACTCCTACAGAGAGGGGGAAGAGGGGGAAGAGGAGGTGAAGGAGAGGGCTGGCACTTTGCCAAAAGAGACCTCCCATTCATGTAGGTCAGCTACGTTTCCAGTAACCTCCTGTCTTGCACATACATGCCTGCACATGTATCCACACATACGCACAGCTGTTTTGCATTAGCTGCAAAGAATTCACTGTTTTTGTTTCACAGGCAAGTGTCGTCCATTTAAGATCACAGAAGAGAAGATGCAATGTATCGCTCTCATTCTCCCAAGCTGGGCCTTTACTAGAGGTGGGAATGATAGAGGCCCTGCAATACAATATTAAGTGTAAAAAAAATAAATGAAACATCAGTACTTGGACCTCCATATATCTAGACTGTTTTTTAAATACTGTGATACTGTTTTATTTAATTTATTTCTCTCACCCCTAGTCTTCACAGCTGATGCATGTTCAGGCACTTAAGCCTGTGTCCCTTTCAGTTTTCCAAATAAATGACACAAGTGGTACTCACTTCCTGTGAAAGGCATGTTTGCACGGGCAAATCCCCAGCTCATCCTTCTGTTTGAACTCCTCCAAGCACACCGCACAGATCTGTGGACGGAGAGCGAGAGACGTTAATGGATATTCCAGTCAATGAGCACACAAAATACGTTGTTTATACACAATATCCCAAGCATCAACACTGCCGTCCACTGAACTACACTGAACATTCAGGCTTGTGTTGGCATTAGAGGTCGCTGAGCCAGTAAGGTGAGACTGATGCTTTATGTATACAGAATGTGGGTTCTGGGGCTTTGAGTAGACACAAGTCTTTATTTCCAGTTCTATCAACATCAACAGTTAACAGTTCACTAAGGACACAAAAAAAGCTGTTGACCTCCATTTTGCTTATATTTGACTACAGGCGTAAACAATAAAATGTGCAGTGCTGATATAACTCAGAATTAAACCTTAATCTTATTTAGAATTAAACCTTAAACTTATCTTATTCACTTCAGTAGGTTTAACTTAAATCCTGTAGAACTTAAATTAAAGAGAAACACTCAAAGTTTTCTTTTTTGTTTGACTGTCAGTCAACCCTGTCAAATATTTAGGCTTTGTTAGTCAAATATTTAGTTTGTTAGTATAATGGAGGTTAATGGGGCACAAGTACAAAGCCTGAAATCTTTCAAATATACCCTTCTCTAAATGTCTAAAGAAAGCCTCAATCATCATGACTACTAGGCTGCCATTATGACAAGATTTAGATAAAAATAGTAAACCTGTCCTTTAACACTGGTTAACTTCACTGTCGAAAAGACGGTGTCTTCGCTGTTGAAAAGGTCACCTAGTGCCTTAAGAAATTATCTGTAGTCAGGATGAGACTTATTTTTAAGAAATGATTAAGAATGATTAAGAATGATTTTAAGAATGATTAAGAACACTGTCACCATGAAGAACACTCCCGGGTTCTTGAAGAACATGTACAGGCAGAGGGCTGAGTAAGCCATAGGAAACACCTTGATTTGCCAACCAGCAAATGCTACGAAGCAGATTCCTGCAGAACATTTGGGCTTGATTAAATGGTCATATAACAGTGGGAATGGGGTAGAGACAGATTCTGAAATGTGCATGAGAGCTTCTCAGCTGGTTCCTTTCTTAACACTTTGTTTTTTATTCAGTTATTAATCTTCAGACTTTTCTTTCAGTAACTACTTTGAATTTTCCTGTAACTTATGAAGTTAATATGTAAGTTTAGTTATGCGTGTGAAGTGCAGACCTATGTACAGGTCTTTAGGCATTTGGGTAATTCAAAGATTATGGCTCATTAAAATCTGCCCACAGAGTAGTTGTGAAAACATTTTTTAATGTTTTTAATTTTTTAATGTTACTTCTCAAATGCTATTTTAAATGTATTCACTCACTAAAACTCTAATGGTCCTACTTGCTTGCTCAAGAAAACGACTGTACTGCAAAAGACACTATTCAGCTTTGCCCCTAGTATATGGGACCCAAGACAAAAGGTGTGTGTACTTGCAGCTCATTATCAGAGTACACTGTTTTATTTATCATCCTTATGTGTGTCTTATCACACAGTATTGTTGAATATATGGTGTTCTGGTGGGCCCTGGTGTCAGTGCTTCTGGCTGCCATTGTGTGCAATTTATTTTCATTGTACATGGAGGGGCAAAATGCTGTGAGAGATACTGGTGTGAGACTGACACAGCCTATGCAAAATGGACAATAACAGGGAGAGTGAACGAGTGCTACACAATGGGCAGCTGTGTGTTTATGTGTGCATGTATGTGGGAAGAAGGGGTAAATGTCTGTGTCTGCAGCGCGAGTTCCTTTTTAAGAAGAGACAATACTAAATATGGCACTACCAGGAGGTACTGTTCAAGTCATAGTTTTACCAGTATAGGTTCTGTAATGAAATCTGAAGCATTTCATTGATGATTGAAACAAGACAAAAGTATCTGTGTAACTTCTCCATATTCTCACATAGCCTACATATTCATGTTGGTCTGAGCCCCACAGGAAACTCTCAATAACAATAACAACACAGACATGCTTGTTATGTTTTGTTACTGCGTTAGCATGAGGTGGATTACAGCAAGACTACTATTACTGCGAGAGGTCAGAGTTCAGGAATTCACAGACAACTATTTACTTCACAATTATTACTGTCAGACAAACTACACACTCAGATTAAAACAGGATTAAAATCACAGACCTCATAGGTAATTACTATAATTACTAGTTATTGTTAAGGATGCATAATGCTAATAAATAACCTCTTATTGTAGCTGATACTGAAATAAAAATGATACATTACACTTGTTGTAAACCTTGACTTTTTTAGCTGGTGCTCTTCACTATATGCAACTACAATGATAGAAGTATGTAGCTTTGGCAGTCTTGCCGAAACACTCTTATTGATGTAGCAGCGGTGTTCTTGCCTGGATGGGGAATCAAACCTCCAATCTTCTGTGCGATGAGCTAAGGTGTTATCAGTGCATGAGTGAGATAAAAATATACTTCGCCTATTATCACTTAGCCCACAATTATCAACAGTTATTCCAACATCAAATAGATAATAATAGCTACATTTTCTCATTTATCATGACTCACTGATATATATCGTCACTCATCCCACTGTTTAATAGACTACAGTACAGCTGGAGGACTGCAGTAGAGCCACAGCTGCCATCTGAAGGCTAACTGTAGAGGGACACTCACAAGGCCAGCAACAGCACCCAGACCCCTAATGGACCTCTGAGATAGGCAGCATCTCTCTTCTCTTTCACTCTCTCTTTCTTTCTTCTTCCTCCCTTCCTCATCCCCTCACTTTTCTCACTCAGCAGTGTTTCTGAGTTAAGTGAGAGAGGTCACCAAATTTCCAAGGTGATTCCTATGGGTAGTCTTCGCTGAATTAAAATGAGACTTTATTTCTCCTCTCTCTTTTCTTCCTCTCTCTCTTTGAGCATATTCACCCTACATAATCTATTCTTATCACTACCTAACAACCTGCAGACTCTCAAGGCTTTGTTTCAGTAAATAAACACCTCCTTGGATTTTTGCATCCTTTGGTCTTGTTTTTTTGATGGCCATTTGATGGGAGCTCCAAGACACGCCAAAATATTTCTACCTGGAACTTTCCTTTAAGACTAAGTTTACATAGGTTCTCTTTGTTTTCCTCGTAAAATTTGTTATTTTGATAAGAAGCAAACAGGATCTCCCAACAGCAGCCACAAGTGCACAGTTTGTGTGTCTGTGTAGTGGGAATTAGGGGAATATTTGCATGCTTGACAAACAACATATGTCCACATCTATGTAATCACATTTTAGGCCCAATACCTAATATTCAGACAGCTGAGCTCAATGGTAGCTGGTTATGCTGTAACTCTCTCTGTAGTTATAGATCCTGCCAGACCCCTTTCTGTACACACAGCACCTTAAAGATACACTACAGACATTCCAAAGCCAAACCCACAGGCCTAGGAACACCTCCAAACCCACTGGACTGTCCATATAAAATACTGCAAAACAAAATAACACACTTAGTGTCCCTTTCTGGGTAGCAACACGGCTATAGCACACAATAATGCAAACATTACGTCTCTCCTTTCGGCTTGTGTGCGCAAAACGAAGATGCCAAAAAACTTGACCATGCAGATCTACGCCCGTTTGTGTAAGCCCTGTTTTCTCGTATTCTACTGCAAATTGGCCTTTGGAGAGGAGAGACCCTTGAGAGAGAGCATATCTTACATTTTTGTTGTATTTTTGTTCAAGAAACTTACACTTCAAACTATACACTTCTAACATTTGTGTAGGGTACAGTCTTAATTGAGTTTTACTTTACTAACCTTAATTTATCCCTTAGAATTTAACAAGCTGTTTTGTGCTTTTAAGCCCGATATATGCAAATGGACTCTGTTTTGATTGGCTGCTCAGTATTTTGCATAAAAAAAACAAAATTTTGCAGCTAAAACTTCAACAATTATTACTTTATCAAATTGCTTCATTTAAAATTTGGCTTTCCATGACATTGGCTCTAATTTTTTTCTGTTTTTTAATGCTTTGGAAAGAGCATGGACGCACGTACTAAAGAAAGTGTCTTTTAAAGCTTACTTCTTGGGTGTGCTACAGATGCATCAAAAAATTTAGTAACAGAAATGAAGTTGTGTTTGTGACAGCTACCAAATTGTTTTGAGGGTGAGCCAAAGAGCAAAATTAGTTAAATCTCTAGTTAAATCTCTCCTGACCAAAAAGATGCCAAGTGAACAACCAACAACAAAACAAGAAAGGAGCAAAACATAAGCAACAGTTTGTGCCAAAGGACCCTCTATTTTTGAGAGAATGATCTTATAATTTGTTGTTGTTGTCAAGTTTCAATATCTAACTGAAGGAAAAACATCAAGACCAACAACAACAGCAACAACAGTAGGACCAGCACAGACCTGGCTACAACTTTCATTCTTCCAAGAAAGACCTTAAAAAAACAAACACACAAACAAACAGCTTTTTCAGACTACTCAGGCTTTGTACCTTAAAACGCCTGCATGTTTTATGTCTAGATTTCTAAGAATTCAGAGGCAAAACTTCCCCAAAGCAGTGAAATGGCAAACTGTAATCAACTTCTTTAATCTTTCAAAAAAGCTTCCACAGCATTTGAGGCCATGTATTTCTCCCATTTAGCTGTCACACTGCTGTTGGTGATGTCAGAAAGAGATCTAAAGGAAAATCTGGGGCAGTTTTCAATTTTCCATGTGAGCAAAGCCACAGATCAAATCAATATACCTTAGAAAACAGTTAATATTTCTCCAAGGACTCATCCTGCCTATCTATTCATGCCCAATGCCGTTGTTTGATCCGGATGATACAAGGTGCACTAATGTAACTCCTTTACAATGAAAAGTTTTAAGAGGAATTTCAACCATTTGTCAAAGCTGAACCACATGTGCTCTGTGGGTGACTAAATAAAGGAGGGCAGAGTATTTTGAAGAAGAACTACTCATTCTAAAGAAGTTTCCTGATTTAAGTTTCGTTATTATATTAATGACAGAACGCAGGGGTCATGGTGTTGGCCAACATGAAAGAAGCGTGTTTATTTTTACCAGCTTACTTCCACTTTAACTAATGTGCCAGCATTTTAAACATTATTAACATTACATATTAAAATATATAATAAACAAATCTATTCCTATTACAAGCACTGAAGAAACCCAAGATGGTATATTTCCCTAGTATGAACCATTTTTCTTCAGGAATGCTCTATTTTCATTTTAGTTTCTTATATGCAAATTCTTCTGAAAATTTGGAGAACTGGTGGAGTTCCTCTTCCACAAAGTTCTCATGCTTCCCTAAAGGCAAGCCGTGTTTATTTATCTAGTACATTTCATACACAAGGGCAGATCAAGGTGTTTTACATAAATAAAGGCAAAAAGAACATCAAAAGGAAAAATAAAAACAAAGTGCAAAAGTGGCTTGATATTTTTCCTGTGTGGATATATACATGACTAAACCTCCTGGGCTCTACAAACAGCACTTTGCTCCCTGAAGTCTCAGGGTGAGGAAGGCTTTTGTTAAGGTGAACCTAGCGTTGTGGATTATGGGAAATTCCAGCACTTCTGTAAAGAGGCACTGCATAGGAGCCCTAGAGTACTCACAGTGGTTAGCACTCACATGGCAGTTCAAACAAAAGACCCAAGTGGAAGTGAGTTTTATGTATTAGACTTGCTGGCCACATTATTAAAAACATTCTGCTGGTGTGCAGTTAGGAACTGTAGCCCATAATCCTTCATCAACGGTCAGTTTCTGACCATTACACACGGAAATATTTATTCGTTTTCTATACAGATAACCAAATAAAATGACTGTATTACCAGAACAGGCCTACTATCAACCTTGTGTACAGCACTACACAGCCAAGATCCATGAATCCAGAGAATGCACACCACCCTCCTCTGAAATGAACATCCTAACATGAGATTACAGGTGGCTCCTTTTTGAGCGTGAGAAAGATTACTCATTTGGAAGTCAGGAGGTGTGAAGCTTGGATTTATTTATAGTTGCAAAAACCCTCTCACAGGGCACTCTATGTACATTAGCAAGTTGTTCTCAGTATCCACTGGCAGAGCCATCTCATCACATGGCTCTAATAAAGCACTTTAGCACCTGTCTTAGTGATTTGAGCTTTATACTGTGGATATGATTTGATGTTTCTGTCTAGAACTGTCATATTTTATTATTGTCACAAGTTATTATTAATCCTTCATTTCTGGTCTTTCCGGTCTTTCCTGGGTTCTGTGATGATATGGGCCAATTGTAAATAAACACTGGGAGAATATGAACCAGTACACTTTTGATTTCTATTTTTACATATTGTAATACATGCAGTAATAAGAACACCATCTGCCAAACAAAGCTAAAAATGAACACGAAAATGTCCTTACCTCATGTAAATTTAGTTCTTTGACCTTTTCCTTCTGAATAACCTGCAAAAGAGATACAAAGAGCAGTGAAAATGACTGAGTATTTCTTCAATAGCATATTCACAATCTAGCAATAAACTGTTGTTCAGAGTTGAGTGTTAAGAGCTGTCTGCATGCACTGTGGGCTTTAACACTATGCCAAACCAATTCAAAGGATCTGAAGAACAGTCACAGCAGTGGTCCAAAAAGGTTTCTGAGTGGAATATCCAAAACACAACATCTGCAACTGGGTTTGGAATTACGTAATGGGCACAAAGTTGCTGAGGACATAACCCTGCAGCCTTCTCTGCTTCTTTAATTAGCGCTGTAAACTGTGCTGGAGTGGTGTTGTGCTAGCACGATCACTGCTGGGCTGCACAATACATTTTTTGTAAATTGTTATCTTACTATTGGCTTTTGTAATGCTGATTGCACAAAAAAGGCTGCAACAGGCAAACAAGTCCTGAAATACATCTTAAAACTGTGCCAAATTAGTTTTTTGGGGGTATTTTGATGAATCAAGGGATTCACATCATCCAACAATGATAAATAATTAGCCAATCTTCAACTCTGTTCAAGGCTATTTCAATCAAATTCTATGCTGTGTAATACCTTTTAACAGGTACTTCGTACTCTTAATAGAAACATAATATCATTTTTCGCTGCACAACAACACACACTCAAATATGGATGTCTATATTAATGTATTTTTCATTAAAAAAAATTAGGTTGTGCTGAAACACTTCTTATAACTTCAGTATGAATGGGCAGGGCTGAACTGCTATAGACTGAATTTAGCAGTTTAGCTTCTGTTTGTGAACTGTATGGGCTGAGTACATTTGAAACATTAAATGTGTTTACATACTACATAAAATCTTTTTTAAAAAAAGTGAAGAAAGTTCAGCATTTAATGTTCCAAGAAATATTGCAATCACAATATGCAGCATTCTAATTTCACTATGATATTCTGTCCTGATCGTATAACCCTAAATATTACACAGGTAAACAGGCCTTCCATGAAATACGGTCATTTAATATGGATTCAGTCTTGACCTCAGCGGTTGGGGATTACTTGGCAGGGGAAGGACAGTATCCCCCACCTCCTACTAGACATATGGCTGCTGACACAACTGCAAATGTAATTAAGTCATGGCAGGAGACATCGAACTCATGAGCAGGCTAAAATAAGCCCTGATGCTTATTTCAAAAGCACACGGCCAAGCTGTGCTATCACAGTTGTTTAAAATGGATTTACCTGTTTGTATGCATAGAGCTCCTTGTGTGCCTGATGTCGCAACCTGAAACAATGCAGGAAGAAGGCATCTCTTGTTTAGTTACAAAATTCAAGATAAATTAGCACACACACACACACACACACACACACACACACACACACACACACACATATATATATATATATATACATATATGTTTTTGTTTTTTTTATTTTAATCTGTGTGGGTCATGGTGTACAGTACAGCAGAGTAAACAATAGCAAAAAATTATCTAATCAAGCCAAGATGATGGCAGAGAACCAGACAGTAAATAACTGAGATAAAGCCTGTTAATGTGCCAAAGTCTTGGTTTGAGCGAGTCACCGAGCCAAGGAAAAATGAAATGCATTCATTCTGCTTTTACCCACTAAAGGTCAATTGCACTTCAATTCAATTACAGATGAAAGATATTTCTTTCAGCTTTTACTAATCATGGAATATAGCTCCAGGCAAATGAACGAAAGGATTTAAAGGCACACTGTGCAATGTGTGTACACTGCCTAAATGCTAGACAGGCAGTTGGCTACATAATCTCAACTTCATCGTCCACCAAGAAACAAAAGTAGAACTTTCTAAGGTCATCATGGAACATAAATGTGCTTAGTGTAACTTTAAGTCCTCCTATCAAATGCTAAAAAAATAAAATGATTAACTGATGGAATCCAAATGTTTAGTCCAAAAATAATTGATGTGGATGTTCATATAGTGCTCTCTACTCTGGTTTAGGGCTGACATGATGCATATTGTGGACTGATTACATGAATTTCATAAATTAACAGACTGCTTCATGACTAAACAATATAACTGGCAATCAGCACAGATTTAATAATAGCTTTCCTTCTCTGGTAGACAGCTAAATATACGTTGGTCTCTTTCCTGTGTGGCCACAAGGATTGTTTTCAGACCTTTGTACTAAGTTCCTTCTCGAACCCACGCTAGCTGCAGTCAGCTCTATCAGCTGCCAGGATCTAATAATGACTGACAGGGGCATGGACTGCCGTCTGGGATGGACATTACTACACTTGTGGAAATTTTACACTTCCCATTAAGTGTTCAAACTACCTTTACATGTGTGTCTGACTTGTGGACTTGACCCAGCTAGTCAGAGCTAGATTTTGCAGACCCACTGTTAGGCTTAAGCTTGTCTGAACCAACACTCAACTGGCCATTATGAAAATACATACTTGTGTGTTTATAAATGTGTCAGAGAAAGACAGAGAGAGAGAGAGAGAGAGAGAGGGAGAGAGAGGGGGAGAGAGAGACAGAGAGAGAGCACATCAGTGAGTCTGACTGTGTGGAAAATTACTGGAATGCATCAGTCCTGAGGCAGCAAGAAATAAAAAAATAAACAAACATCTACAGCTTTCGGCTTATTGTACTGTGGCTAAGGTTAATGCCTGAACACTAGTACGGAATTAACGTCGGGGGAATTTAGCCAGGGTGTTTTTTTTAGTCTTGACCAGATTTATGTTTTACACAAAAGAATGAAACTAAAACAATAAACAATAAACCCAGCAAGCATGTCTTCATACCAGGACATCATCAATATTGGATACATAAAATCAAAACACAGTTTAACACAGTCAACCCCATTGACATCATAAGCAATATTATCCATTACATCAACCTCTTAGGTAGAGGTTAGTCAGAAAAGTTGAAAGGGGAAGAAAATACAATGAAAATAAGGTTGTAAGATTTACCTCCATTACAATTAACCGTAACCTCTCGGAGCAGAGTGAGAGGGATCTGTAAAACAGGCAGCACAGTCTAGGAGAGACACTGACATTCTGAAAAAGACCAGCAGGTAAAGGTGCAGAACTCCCAATGGTGGAAGGACGAGTGAGGGAGGGGTTTATGGGAGCTGTTATGGGAATCTACTTGGTGGGTTCCTGGGGGATTTCTTTCTTGTACTGGTAGTACTACTGGGCAATATCCAGTTTATGTCCAAACATTGGTAGACATCTCTTATAACTGGCAAATTCAGCTACTTTAAGGTGCACCCACTGCTCACTGCTGTTCAACTGTACACACATAGCTTGTATCATCTCCACAGAGAAGTTGCCAATTGAATGCCAACAGCCGCTCATGAGCCTTGCCAATGCCAATTATCTGCTAGTGGGGTATAAAGCCCCTTAGTACTGGACTATGGAGCAGAGGAACTGCGTTCTCTGGAGTGATGGAGCACCATTAAATACCATTGGTGTGGGCTTGAGTGGCGATTATTACCCAGAACCAATCATCCAAGATCAGTACCTGAACTCACTAAGGTTCTTGTGGCTAAACCCTCACAGCTACGTTCCAACATCTAGTGTAAAGCCTTCCCAAAAGAGTACAAACTGTTACTGCAGCTAATGGGGAACAGACCCCCTATTAATGCCTTTGATTTCAGAAAAAATATTGGACTAGCAGGCGTCTATAAACTTTTGGACATACACTGTATAATGCCTGTACTGCTATACTGGTATTGTTGTTAAATATCAATATTGATTTTTAATTTTAGTGGCATTTATAGGTTAAAAAAACATTGTACTTAGAAAGCATGGGTTCATTAACTCACTGACTATACTAATTCATAGTTAAATATTTTCAGATATCTTGATATCTGATATTGTAATAATCAACACTGTGATACTGAATTTTATCAATATCGCAGCATGGCATCTTAAGTGCTTTCACACAGATGCTCTGAAAACTGCCTGACCCTGGGTAGTTTTCAAGCGCTACAAAACTGTCAAGCACCCTGTCTGACATATAAACAATGGTAAAAATGTCATATGTAAGCGTGAACTTAAATTTTCTGCCTCTTCGGATGGGCGAGCTGGATAAACACTAGCCTGCGTGTGTTCTCTAAGCCTGGGAGTACTTCGCGTATGTGTGTTGTCTCTGGTGAAAAGCTGCTACATTCAGTCTCGCGTCAGGTGGTGTGTCTGTGTGGTGAATCACGACTCCTTTCGCACATTCACTTGAGCTCACGACTCTCTCGTGCTGCAGGTCCTGAGCATGCTCATAGGGACAAAAATTCTGTGTCCAATGTGTCTGTGCTCAAGGCTGCTTAACACTTAAAAGTCACTGCTGTTTTGCTATACTTTCTCTAAATGTACTTCTATGATTATAAAATGAATTACGTCATTGGATCATTATTTTAAGTTTTATTTAGTAGTTTAATTCTATTTACATTCTGTATTGAAAGGTTTGCATAGGTCCTACTTTTTTCTGTTTTGATGTCAAAAAATGACAAAAACATAAAAAAAGATTTTTTTTTTTCCTACTACACAACAATGTACACAGAGCTATACATTTTCAACAAATTCAAATCATAATAAAATTTTTTCTCACCTCTTTACAATTAAATGTCATATCAATTGTTGTTTTCTCTGCTTGTTTTAGTGAGTTACAAGTGAGAAATAAGCGACAACTAAAACTTCTAAGAGTTAATCAACTATGTAGCCAAATTTAACACACAGGTTTGTGTTTCTTTGCATTAGCTGAACAAGCCTTAGTCCTGGAGTACATTGGAGTGCATTGCACAGTTTTTGTCTAACACAAGTAACTCTCCTGTTGGTAATTACTTCATGCACTGCATAAAATGTAAGATGAGGAAAAACACTAACGTGAAGAAGACAGGACTGAAATCAGGGAACAATGGATTAGCACTTAAATCTGTCAGTCATCTTGAGGAAGCGATGATGTTACTCCATGCCAAAGACTATGATGCAAAAGAAGCAGCATACAGCATGGATGCCATTTAGGACTCCCTTTTGCTCTGAGATGAACCCAGCCCTCTTGGTGTACTCCAAACAGAAGCTGTGCAGAGTATGCCACTTTCCCCCATTGTTTCAACCATGATGAATGGGAGATATGGCACTGAAAAATGGCTTGATGGAGGCTGGGCAGGAGGCTGCTATTTTCAGCGCTTGCTAAATTTGCAACTGTCGTCATGTTCATCTCACCCTACTGGTGTGGTGCTGTATAAATATTTCAGTGCAGAGGAAGCTGGGTAGCACTGAGGATAGCTGACTTAGGGAGGGGAAAGACTAAGCTGGGGCAAGCTGGGAAGGGGTGTCATGCATTTATATTGTGCATTTGTCGAACCGGACACAAGGGAGACTGCATCTTTAGAAGCTTTTCAGAGAAGAATCTCATCTAAATGTCATCCTTTCATCAGTGACTTGGTAATCTGACCACCTCTTTTCCATTCAAGTATCAAATCTACTGCAATATACTTACATAAAACTTATATTTTAGACTATCCTTACATATTGTAGTGTGTGGTGGGTGGGTCAGAGAGAAAAGAACGTGTATGTAATAAATTAAACGGAAACTTACCCCCACTGGTTAAGGTGAATTTAGCCGCTGGTTCGCACTGTCTTAAGTAAGAAATGCTACACAAGTGCAAGTTAACTCTACAGTTGCCCTGCTGCCAGGGATGACTTCACGATAACAGTACTAGTACAAAAGTTACTGGTTGGCATTATCTCTGTTATTGGGTGGGTCTAATCACACTGGAATGGGGTGGACAACGAAGATACCATTGTCTTTGGAAGTCACCATTCAGTGTATCCAAATTACAAATTTAAGATTTTTCAGTGACATTATTGCTCAATTTGACTGTTCAAAAGACAAGAGCTATTCTAATCGCTTTCCTTGAGTTATACCAAGAAAATAAATCAGCTAGAAATAAAGGAATACCAGTCTCAACATAAAAGGAGCTAGAGGCATAATGTAGCATCCTCAAGGCTGAACCCACCACAGTTCGTGACTGTGCAACTAAGCTCTGAGTACAGTAACTGTGCTACTAAATGGCTTTGCGTACAGTTTTAAGTAAGCAACATAAGCCAGATTCAAGAAAAGAGAACTTTTACAGGTGGGTTTTGTTTGGCTTGTTTCAGATTATCAAGTCAGGAGTTTGTACTAGCTTCTCCAAACTGTGCTGTTTGACCTTCTCACTCTTTGTGACAAATATGATCAGACACAAATGAAAAACAACATCCACATTCAACAAATGTTTTAAATGCCATATGGCTGCAGCCAGATGTGAAATGATGTTTTAATCAGGGGCTTGAGACTTTATTTATTTTCCAGTGTGCTGCTAGCTGACCACTCCTCAGTTCATTTGCATATTGCCTGATGGTATGAGCTAAATGAATCCAAAGGTTAAAACCAAAGAAGCACTTTCAAGAGCATTTAGAAGAGTGAGTACTCTGTTGTTGGCAGAAATGACACGTTACATGGTTAGTCTCTAATATAGTACACCACTCACGAAGATGTTGTCAGCTTAAAGTTTTTCAAAGCGGGTTTTTTCTGTGTTTACTAAAAAAAGCATATTCATTGCTGAATTCAAGGTGGCTACGCATTCATTTCTGCTGCCTTATTGAGCAGTGGGCTAATGATTAGGGTATGACTGCGCCATTCAAAGTCGCTGCAGTCTTCAAAGTAAACGTGATAAAAGAGCCTCACTCTCCCTACCCGGTGTGCAGATGAAAGAGAAGTCCTCCCAGGCAGCACCATCTGTCAGGTTTTTCTGTCCTCTAATGCAGGTTTCTTTCTGCCTCCACCTCCCATTCCCCTCTTTTTTCTTTCCTACTCATTTTCTGCAGGATGAAATGTGTTGCAGGGAGGGTTATAAGACCACGACTTTGCCCCATCTGAGGTGATTTAGAAAGTTAAAGTTTGTCAGTATTTTTCAGCTGGTACACAAAGTCACCTCTGTCATTTGTGAATCAACCATATTCGTGTCTTGCTGAATATTTAATGTATGCACAAATAGTTTTATGATGGAAACCACCTTTGGAAAACCAGTCATTAGTTGACCTTTCCGCTATTTACTGAGTTTCCATCTGTTTTTCTAGGTAGTTTACAAAACACTGCATACTGGATCTCAAAAGCCAGTAGTTCATGACGGATGTCTTGCTTCTGTGCTGCCTTCCAAATTTCATCTAATACAAAGAATGTGGATTCAGCGTTCTTGAGCCCTTGGCCACTTTGTATTCATTAGTACTTGTGCTAGTAATGTTAAAACTGCAGACACGGCAAATGAACCAAGGAATGCAGTGCTAGCCAAAATGCCCCACATTTCTTACCCTCCTTGAAGGAGACATACAGCTAAATTGGTCATGCTACGCAGCTATATGGCATCTTGCATTGAGATGACTCAATACATGATCTTCAAGAGAAAAGAGTTCTGTATGCTTACCGAATCAGATAGCAGCAGAAGAGAAGGCTGAGGATGAACACAAAGATGGCAGTCCCAAAGACAACAATGTAGATATTGAGGGGGAGGTTCTGAAACCCTATATTCGGCATTCTGAAACTGTAGTGCTGGAAATCCAAGGTCATGGATATCCTAGTGGAGGGAACAGGAGTAAAAAGAAGGGATAAGAGGCTATGTTCACATTACAGGTTCAAAGAGATATGAATCTGGTTTTGTTTCAGAGCTGTGTGAACAAAAATTCCATTCTTTTGACCCACTTTCAACTGCAATCCGAGACTGAAAACCTATCAGGTACACTAACAACAGAGGCTAATGGTGATTAAAAGGTGTGCATGTGGGTCCTTTCAGGGTAAAAACAGAATGACGGCCACTTAATAACACAAATTTGAACCACCAAAGCAGAAAGACACGATCTGAGGAAAAGTTCAGAATTGAGAACAGGTGGGTGACAGGTAGGCAAAAATACCACAATCACAAAAGACACTGAAAAAATCACAACAGACAATTACATTGTAATGTTACACAGTATTACAATATTTAGTTTTTCTGAGGTTTGTAAATTGGAACAGAGAAAAAACAACCTTTAGTTCCACATTTAATATAAAATACATTCAAAAACTATGAACACAAGCTTTACTCGAGTTTCTTTATAATTCACTGCACTAAACACAATTAAACAGGACTAATTATGATCTCTTTGTAATGGAACATGCGATGCAGTGAGTCAATGCTATTTAAGTAATGACGATTTCAATTTGTAACATAAAGTCATGTAATTTTTCACAATAACAATAATTACTGCCCTATTGTCCACCCATAAAACTGAGCAGTAATGTGGCTTGTAATGCAAACCTAGACAGAGAAAAGAGAAATTGAAGACGGTGAGACATCAAACAGGGATTCACAGAAGGCAAGTCTAAATGTCAGCCCAGAGGCGTGAGGGCGAATGCCCTTTCCAAGCCCCATCCGTCACTGTGGTGTCAAAGCGGGTCAGTCCCAGCTACCATTTCCCTGCAATTGTCTGCAGTCCCAACTAGCATTATCCTGCAAGCAAGCAGGACACGAATCACTTTACAGACGTCTCACATAAGCAAGTGGTTACATCACAGCTCACTTGCTGTTAACTCTCCTGGCCCGTCTCCATAACAACCACTAGCGGTCCCTGCTGAAGTAATGAACAAATGGACTGCTGCTTATTGTCTTGCGGGTGCGTGTGAGGAGGCCCAGACGGCCGCACCAGGCTTCTGTTAAGTGAGTAAATTCGGCAGCGCGGGCTGGGGAACATCGGCCCTGCAGGAGCTATTATCCAGCAAGCATGGGCCACCGTCTGTGAGAAAATTGACGTTAACCGATCTTTGGAGATTTGGTACTGCCTCACTTTGGCCTCTTGCGAATATGCATTTCAAAAATACCTCAGATATGGTTTTCCCTTGGCAAGTAGGTTCAAATCTCTGATCTCAAAACAAAACACTGAAGAATACTGAGAGCCTAATTGCAACATTGCTTTTAGAAGCATTTGAAATGGACAGAGTGCATTTAGTTCCACATGTTTACTATATGTGTGCCACTTCACTCAGGCCTTCCCCTTTGCGAATATGCTTTTCAAAAATATCTCACATGGTCTGTCCTTGGTAAGCAGGCTCTGATATTGAACCAAAACATTGTAGAGTATTGAGAGCCTAATAATAACCTTGTTATCAGATAGCATTTGAAATGGAGAGTTCATTTACTTCACGTTTGCTGTATGTGTGGTATACGTACTAGGCCTATACAGAGCAAGCACAACATTACAGTAACTGATCTCTGGAGATTTAGTTCACTTTGGCCTATTCTCTTGCAAATACGATTTTCAAAAATATCTCACGATATGTTGCGCTGAAGTCTTGTGCTGACCTTAAAACAAAACACTGTTAAGAATCTTGCTACAGTCTTTTAACAAGTATCTGACACAAATGAATTTACCTCTACATGTTTATTATATGTGGTACTAGGCCTATATACTATACCAGCAATCACATACAAGCAGGCATGTGTAGGAAAACTTAAAACGATCATAAAACAATCTTTGAAGATTTTTTTGTTTTCAGAATCTGAAAACATTTGCTCTTTACATAGCGTGAACACTGATAATGAATGCACCAAAATATATTATAAGTTAGTCATCATTAGATTTCATTCCAATAGCAACAATATGCTTTCAAGAAATATTTCAGATTTGGTTTGCACTTAAAATAGTGTAGAATATTTTGGGGCTTATTATAATCTTTTTAGAAAAATCTGAAAAAGGAAACAGTTAATTACCTTGCTTGCAATGTGTGGGTGTTTGTTTATTAAAGAAACTTCTCTGCTCTATGAAGACCTGTTTAACACATCCAAGGAGGACATGTCTGAACAAGTGTGAACATGCAGATGAGAAAGAAAGAGAGAGAGAGAGAGAGAGAGAGAGAGACAGTGTAGTGAGTGTGTGCATGTCCAGGACATTTTTGTGCTGTAATGAATGCCTTTGTGTGCTTTCTCACATTTTTCTACCTCAAGGGGACTTTCCCCCCTGCCCAGTAACTTGAGCTGTTCAAGGCCTTTGATACCGGAAAACATTTTGCAACCAGCACACGCCCCCTCTTCCCCCATTAAAACTTCACTCAAGCGTAGCTTACAGACAGAGCAGTGTAAACTCATCCGTAAAGCAATAACCCACTGTAATAGAAACAACAGAGGGCTAGGGGCAGATCTCCTCCACACACCCACACACAGTCATAACAGTTGTAAGAGTTCACGCGTAAAAGGTCCAGCTGATGGCATGCAGTGGTAAACAGTGGTGGCCACTGGTTGGCTGGGCTGGGTCCAGCCTCCAGTCCCAGTTAGCCCTGGTGTTGTGCTAGCTGTGCCCTAATACCCACTGCTTTACTCCCTGTCTGAAATACTCCCAGCATTGATCAACCCTTTGTAGTTCTGCTTATCCGAGTTAGCAAACAGAATCAGCAAACTGTAGCCTGCCTCCCAAAACATGTGTCTCACATGCATAGATACTTCAAGCTTGGGTTATGCCTACTTGATTTGGAGAGCCGCAGGGCATGGAGGAAAATGAGCACAGTTTTTGTGTATGCAAATGCAACAGGCACAAACTGGCAGGAAAATTAGCACAGCTGTTGTGCACATAAAAAACTAGGCAGTTTGTGCTTAAGTTTAATGGGTTTACACATCAGCTATATCCACATTCCAAGCATCATTGCTCGATTCCTATTTTTGCCCAGATCTGATCATTCTAACTCCATGGTTCACATTTGCATGAGTAGGTCACTTGTATCTATCATTAACTTGAAAAACCTGCACCCTGAAACAGCCTGCATGTGCACATCCAACTCAACAGTGTCATGTGCAAAAGCATGTGCACCACGAACAGAATGAACTACAAAGGCAGAACAAGCCTTCAATTTAAAGATAATTCACTCTGAACAGTTCACAGCTGTTCATTATTAGAAGCGTTTACTGGTGCTAACTTCACATTAAGTACTGTTGCCACATGCTGAATGATGATGCATGTGCAGTGAAAAAAAGCCCACATGGATTCCAATCTGGCTGTTCTCATTAGGGTTGCAAGGGCAAAAATCGGGTATGTGTCCAATCTAGGACCACTTATGAAAGTGTCTCAGTTCTGATCTGAAAATTTTTGATTTGTGTTAAAAATGAACATTTGTGCCACTTAGGGCTGTTAATGTCAATGTATCCAAGGACACGTGTATACAGACACACTACTCAAAGAGATAGTGGGCTGAGGGATGGAAAGGAGATGAGCTGAGCAAGTTCAAGGCTTCATAAAAGGGCCTCAAGACAGAGCTTTATTCTAGTTGAATTATCTCAATTGTCACTGAGCTGGTCTCTGGATGCACCAGCTGGCAGTGACATAACTATGGCCTCACTTCTGTTCTGCAACTTTTCATCCTGTCTTCCATGCTTTCCTGGGCTACAAAGCTGATGGTGGTTTGTGTTACAATCTGTTACACTTCCAGTTGAGTGATTTGACTCAGAGTGAGTATTCTGACCCATCTGACTAGGAGACAAAAGTAAATAAGAAGAAAAACAAAAAGAAGAAGAAGAAAAAGACAGGTTTTACAGGATGCCTTATCTGTGCAAATCTCTAAAGACTAACTGAAGAAGGGTCACAGAGACCACAGAGGCTGCTTCACTTTAGCAGATATAGTAGAACACCAGTGCTGAATGGGCTCTCTCACATGAACTATGCAGCAGTATACCCAGGCCTCAGTGGTACTGTCTAAGCACGGAATCAACAATGGTGACTTTACTGTTTATGCGACATCTTTGTGGAGAAGAAAGAATAGGCCATTGTCACAAGACAAAAGCTCAACTTTTTTGGGCCATTACCAAAATAGCTGCCAGCCTCACAACTACTGTAGTGAACTTCAAAAAGCCTCAACAAGGGCGAGGCAACTGGGGGAGAGATTTATTGCAAGAATGTCATCAGCATAACGGTGATTAAGCTACTCTTTATGATTTAATGACTGTGCTGGCAAGGTGCCACTGCTTCAGTTATATCATCAACAGACTGATCCAACTCGGCAATGTCGGCTTGGATTTACGCCATAGGCTTTGGGTTATAAACGATCATGTTTCCACCTAATTCCTGCATCTTTATCACTTCCCGGTTTACATGCTTGCCTGTGTATGACACGGAGCCAAGTCAATGACAACTCTTCAATGTTGGCTAAGATTCATACTCGAAACTTTCCTGTGAAGTACATCAATACTGCGCACTTTCAATCTGCTTAAACGTTCCAGTCACAAGGCAGTCCATCAATGTGGCTATAATGTGGTGGTGGACACAGAAGAAGCTAGAGAGGTCAAGAAGGAGATTTTGGACTCACAAAGTGAAATGACACCCCTGTCAACCCCCAGCTACTTTTTGCCCATTACTATGAAAATTTGTTGAGCATTAGAGCAGCGGTGAGCTCCATATCCCACTGTGGCAAACAACCAAGACCACAAAGCTGCTTTTCAGCTGGACGTTGCACCCAGCGCCTTCAGGTCCGAAGAGGACGGAAGTAGCACTGAAATGTCTTTTTTCTCCCTGTCTTTTCATTCTTTGATTCTCAGCAATAGGTTGCTGTCTCTCCCTC